CACTATCACTGCCTTGGGTTCGGTTTTCTTGATGCTGTTGCTCCAAATTCATTGCTAGACCAACTCTATTATTGCTGTAAAGATTAATTCCACTGCCAAGTAACCCCATATTAGTTTCTGTCACTCCTAACCCAAGCTGCTGACCGCCCGGTTGCTGCTGTTGCAATATCATTGAACCAAGCTGAACCGGACTCACACGACCCCCACCCGAATAATGAGCCGGAAAGGTCCACATTTGGGCTTCTGGCACAGTTGCTGATGCGGTGGCACCACCACCTACCGGCAGCATCCAAAATGCATTACCTCCATTAGTGGCAGCCGGTGCAACTGCCCACATAGCTGGAGCCGGCACAATGTTGGCTGCACGAAACGAACCGGGTTCTTGATCTTGCATTCCGGTTCTCTCCGGTTTAGGAGAATTTGCCTCCACACCAACCGTTTCAGCATTGTGTTGAGATGTTTCCTTGAAAAGATCTTCTCTGAATGGCTTGGTCGAGTAATTCTCGTTACTACTTCTCATGGAACCATCGGGGTTCAAGATTTGAGGGTATAGCTGATGATGAAACCCTAACATGCCAGCTCCAGCAGAAGTGTTGCTAAATCTTCTACTTTCATCTCCATTAGTACTGCTGTACAGACCTAAAGCACTGTGGAAAGAGAAAGGAGCAGATTTTGATGAAGGAGCTGAAATAGTAGTGCCACTGTTGCGTAGCGAGACGTTGAGAGTTGAGAAATTGGCTGGGATGGTGCCAGTTCCGGTGGCAGCTATGATGGCTGGCTCTGCCTGTTGAAGCAGCCACTCAATGGTTTCACCATCTGATTTATGACCCAATTCTCTGGTGAGTTGGAAGACTCTGGCGGCGCAAACGGCCGGCATGCGGATGCGGCGGCCGCGGCCATCGACCTTAGTGTGGCGGTCCTTGGTGGGTCTTTTAGCAGGTTTAGCAAGGGAAGATGTGGAAGTAGGGGAGGAAGAGTGAACCCCAATTTGGTTGGGAATGGAGCCCATGCCCGTGAATGGGACATGGGCTGGGGCCTGAGGCTGAGAGGAGGTCCCATGTGCGCCACCAGCAGCTGCTTGTGGTTGACTATCACGAGAGACCAGTTGCAGGGAAGCCTCTTGTTTTTGGCCATGGTGGTGGTGGTGGTCACTGCTACTGCTGCTTTTATTGCTCTGTGGCTCCATTATTTCCATCTGTGGCTTTCCCAAAAAATTTCCTTGTCTATCAAATTAAACCATCTCAAAAATGGAACCCCATTTTTTTTCTTTTCTACCTCATATCCATAATAATTTTCTTCTTCTTTGTGTTTTTCTTTTCTCACAACCAAAATAAAAAAAAATATTATAACAAGGGTTTTGTTGTGAATTTTCCTTTTCCTTGGGAGAGGTGTGCGCAAACAAAGGCTTTGTGAGTTGTGATCCTAACTGCACCACCACTGTTAGTGCGTGGGGATCTTCTTTTCTTCCTTGTGATTGACTGCTGCCCTTTGAGAGAGAGGAGAGTAGGTGAGAGAAGGAGCCAACAAAGCTTAAAAGAATTCAGTGATGGGGCCTGTAAATTTTGCAGCAGTACCCCACTCGTGGGGGCCTCCTGCAATGGCAAAACGTTGATCAAACCTGTTAATGTCAAGTTGAAATATCTCTTTGTCTCACATTTACTTTTAAAAAGCTTTTCACATATGGTTTCTGGGTTGGACTTTTGGGTGTGAAGATGTTGAAACTTGTAAGGAAACCATATACATACTACAGGATGGGGATACGGTCTCAATACTCTCACTGATTGAGTTATGGTTAATAATGACCAGGATGGTGACGCCAATGATCAAGTCCAACAACAACCGCCATAAATATTTTAGACCCTTCTTCACCCCTATGTTTATCTGTCTCTGGCTTTTCCTGGTATGTTTCTTTGTGAAACAAGTAACTGGCAGTAAGAGAGTCCTTAAAAGCCAATGCTGTGAACAACATTAGATTAGGTCCTCACATTTATGCAAGCTTTTGCAGTAAAACTGTAAATCAAGGTGGCCCTTAAATGCTGCTGCTGCTATAATATTCACCCCCAGGGTCCCCTACCTGCTTGGCTCATGTACCCTTGCCCCCCCACCCTTTATATCTCTCTCTCTTTCTATTAACTGTTCATCCATCCATCTATCCATCCATCCACACATCTTGTCTTTTATGGGAACTTACTCCTGACTCAAATTTTAGTCAACACTCAAGTGTTAGTGCCTTGGTAGATTTTGCTTTGAGATCAGCCAGAAGAAATTGACAGATGAAGTAATTCACCTCTGTTTATTTACTAAGAACACGAACTGAAGTTTAACCTATATATCTTCACCTTAAAGGAGGCATAAAAGTGGAAGAAAAGGGGATGAAACAGTTGCTCAGTTCCAACCCAGAGGCCCTTTCTCCCCAACCAAAATTTCACCTAAAAGACTTTTAAAGGGGTAAAATTGGTGAGAGCAGATGTGAGCAGCAAGACTATGCCTTGATAGGACAAGCAACATGGCAATTATGGTGTACATTCAAGTCACAGGGCCAAACAGCTCAGCAAAGCATCTAGTGGACTAAGACAACTCATCCCTACCAAAGCCTTTTGTTTTCATATTTCCTTTTTCTTTTTCTAAAGACTAAAGAGTGTTACACACACACATATTATATATATATATATATATATATGTATATATCCAAAAACAAAGACTAGTCTAATATTTGAGCAGAATGGCACTTACTGTGATTAGCGGCCAGTCAACCCACCCACCTTGCCCAACCTTTTTCTCTTTGGAATATAATTTTAATTAAAGAATACACTTGACAAAGTCAAAAAAATCCAAAACCCTAACTCATCTTTTCACTATCTCATCTAATTTTATTAAGATATAATACTTAAAAAAAAAGTTCTTCAACTATTTAAAAAAATTTTAGAAAATTTTTATTTTTTTATTAAGTTTTTTTTATCCTCTACTACTTCAGTTGATTATTACGTTTAATAAAATTATTATACTTTTATTTTGAGTCAAATAAATTCATATAACTAATTATTGATTAACTATTATTAATAAAAAAATCACTTGTTATTTTATAGCACGTGATGTTGATATGTTATAATGAATGATAACGTGATATGTTGTTGTGACCATGTGATATTTTTATCTTTCACATGTTCGACACGTCAATGCTGTATTGTATAAAAACAAGTGACGTTTTGATTTACAATATAAAAATCTATTTAACTAAAAAAAAAGTATAATAATTTAATTGAATGTAATAAAAAAAATAAAAATTTATTTACACTAATTATTCTTCTTATTAATAATTTAAGATACAAATGAAAATCATACAAGAATATACATTATTCCACATCCACAACTTTTTATCCCTATGTTTCCCTTTTTTAATTGCTTATAAAGAATATTATTAGATATGGCATGGAGGAAGATTATCAGCTAAAAGTGTTGGGTTAAACTTTGTTGGAAGCCTCACAATCATGGTGGACTTATCTTCACCTTTCCATCAACTTAAGCAATTAGTCATTGATAATATTCATTTACAATTAATTTTATATTCAAATCCTGTTATGCATATTGAAATTCTCTTTAATTGGTGTTTTTAGTTAAAAAATTAAATAGGAACGATCGGGTTGTACTACAACAAATTTGACTTAAAGTTTCTAAAATGTGTTATTAATATTATTTTTAATGATATTTTTATATACTTTTTATAACAGGTTTGTTGATTTTATTGTATTATATAAAATTTTAATAATATTATAAATAAAATTTTATTAAAAAAACTGATTATAAATAAACTCTTACCCCTACCCATTTGCTTTGCATTCCATCTTTCTTCCCATGTGCTTCACTTGTGCAAACGACAAAAGGTGTCACAGTTATGCAATAGGGCTCTGGTCTGCATATCATAATATAGGCAAGCAATGCTTGTGATTGCATTGCAAGCAATATAGGCAATGTTTTCTTCTTCGTATTTAGTTATATTTTTATTTATTGTTATTAATTATTACCATTACTGTTTCTTGTAAAGAGTCTTTTTAACATTTAGTGCCTGGTTTGTTTATTTGGTTTTAAAATTTGGTTTCAAACCGTGAGAGAAGTGTCAATTGTCATGAACTTTACATTAATAAGAAATAAGATGAATTTTAAATTTATAAATAATTATCTTCATTGACTTATCATATATGTATTTTGGATTGAAATCCTAAACCCATTAGATTCATGGTCGATTTTTATAATATGGTTTTGACAATTCATAAATAAGATGGATTAGTCTTGTCCAAATCCAACTTTCCCTCGTTTTTCTTTAATAACTTTTAATTTATTACTTGATTGCAATAGACTTGAAGACTTATTTTGAATAATGATCTTTATCCATATCAATAATGTTTATAGTAAAACACAAACATATATTTTTCTTGTCATCTTGCTGCATTTAATATGGCTAAAAGTGTTGTAATACTTAAATTAAATGTAAAGTAAGATGCTGTTCAAGAAAATAGGAAAATTTCAACCAAATTTATTTTGTCAAAAAAGATCCATCGAAAATAATATATCTTTATCGACGAAATTTCGATCAAAGCCATTTTTTATTTTTTTCAAAAATTGATTTGGTGCTTAGTTTTTTGATTAAATTTTTTAGCCATAAGACGTTACTTATATCAATAATCACGAAATTTTGATAGAAATTTTTTTAATTAATACAGGTATATAAAAAAAATTTGAATATTTCATAATTATTTTTTTGGTTTACTGACTTCTTAAGAAAAAAATTATTTTCAGTAAAAGTTTCGATTGAAAATCTCAAAGGAATTTAAGCTTAAAATCTCTATTTTTTTTTTCTATTTGCTTTCAGTTTTACCTACCTAAAATCCAAACAGCTGCTTCTCTCCTCCCTCGATTTCCTGTGTCCCCACTTGACTCCACCTGTCGCTATGTTGATGATCTCATCTTAGCAGGAGAGAACAAAGCTATCCTATCTGGTTTTATTCAAGCTCTGTCTTCACAATTCTCCATTAAGGATCTTAGTTCATTGAATTAGTATATTTGGAGCTAAGGGTTCCCCTGCACCTGTGTCTACCTCAATGTCACCTAGTCTGCATGATGGTTGAGCTAGGAATAGTTCTGTTTAGTGTCTGGATGCATGATGTGCTCATGGTTGAGTAAAAGACTATTTAGGCTTAATCCTGAAGCAGGTTTTTGTTGAATAACCAGCTTTGTCACAGAATTGATAGATGACCTTACCAGTTAGCTGATTGGCAAACTGATTTCCTTTGAAAAATATATGAGAACCATTATTTTGTCTGACAGCATTGTTGAAGTTGAATCCACCTGATAGCTTAGACTTGTTAACCTTAGAATAGGAAATCTTGTTAGTAAGATAAGAAGGAAGAACATAATCTATGGTAGAGTTTTGCTTCTCCAATAATCATCATATTCATGTAACCTCTCAGATGTTCTTCAATAATTTTGCTGTCATTGGATTTACTACCTCATTTATACTTGTTCAAAAATTTTGTTCCATCATAGATACAAGAGGCAATCGATTAATGCCAAAAAATACCTAATACGAAGAAGTAATTGGTATGCTTTACCAAGTAAATTGCAAAAAAGGGGGGGTTAGATGTTACCAGTAGTCCATGCAAGAACACGAACCATTCTCGAAATGGTGAAAGCGCTTCCGATCCCTAACAATTATTTTACGTTTATAAATCTTTGAAATTAGTTTGATTGAAGAGTGGCAGTCTTCACATACACGGAGGTTCTTGACTATACGAAGTGTGGCTCCAGGACTTGTACTGATCAAGCCAAATGCAATTGCAATCCTTTCACTATGATAGTATAATGTGCTCTCTTTTTCTTCCTCATCAATGTTAAGCAAAACTGGACTGGTAGCTGGCTTATATCCTGCCAACCTCATTTGCTCAGCGATTTCCTCCAACATTGAATGAATCTCTTTGGCTCTGGGGTGGGAATCATCTTCCACAAGAAACTCATGGACAACTCCATCAAGCTCAATAAAACTGCATCCAGGGTCTTTCCTTACATCCATCTCCTTCATTTTTAACCTCACCCTTGCAACTGACTCCCAATCTCTGGAAGAAGCATATATATTTGACAATGCCACATAAGCTCCACTGTCACGAGGAGCCATATCCATCAAAATCCCGGCCACGCGGTCACCCATCACAATGTTCCTGTGCATCTTACAAGCACCTAACAAGGCCTTCCAAATCACATCATCTGGTTCTATTGGCATGTTCAATATAAACTCTTCGGCCTCTTTCAATAGCCCAGCGCGGCCTAATAGATCAACCATACACCCATAATGTTCAAGCCTGGGTTCAAAGCCGACCACATTAACCATGTGATTGAAAATAAACGCCCCTCTTCCACTAACCCTGCATGGCTACAAGCACTCAAGACACCAATATACACAATCACTAGGAGTTACGCCTTCGTGTTCCATCCTTGAAAGATAATCAAGAGCACCCTTTGCTCTACCATGCATTGCAAGCCCCCCAATCATCGCGCTCCAAGTAATTGTATTTGGTTTACTTATCCTCTCAAAGACCTGAACGGCCTTATCAATACTCCCACACTTAGAATACATATCGATCAAAGCAGACCCAAGCACATCATCAATCTCAATCTCATTCTTTTCAGCATACAAATGCACCCATTTCCCTAACTCAAGTGCCCCGAGTCTTGAAATGGCAGGAAGAACACTCACCAAAGTCACATAATTAGGCCTCACTTCTCCAATTTGCATCAAACGAAACATTTCAATTGCTTCCTTAAAATACCCATTTTGGGCGTATCCAGAGATCATCACATTCCATGAAATTACGCTTCTTAGAGACATTTTATCAAACAATTCCCTAGCAGTCCTTAAATCCCCAGTTCTTACATACCCATCAATTATCACATTCCATAAAACAATATGTCCCTCGATTCTCCTCTTATCCCTAACTAATTTGTCAACATTTTCGAATTCAAACATCATTTTGTTAAGCAAAATGTGAGCTTCTTCCATGGCTCCGCACATAACATACATTCTGACAAGATTGCTAGCAACAAACTCATCTTTTTCAAACCCAAATTTCACCACTAGCCCATGAACCTGTTCCCCTTCTAGAAGCTTCCCAGTTCTAGCACAGGCCTTAAAGACCGAAGGAAAAGTAAATCGATTAGGTGAAACGGTGCCGTCAGCGACCATTTCAGTAAATAAAAACAATGCTTCCAACGGCTCATTTGTTTCACTGCTTTCATCAGATTCTGTTAGAGCTCTGATAATTGTGTTCCAAGAAAAGCAGTTAGGTTCCCCCATCTGACGGAAGAGCTTGCGGGCGTAATCGATGTCACGATGGGTGCCAAGGGAGCAGAATTTGAGGATTTCGGCTGCGGCTAAAGGATCGTGGATTTGGCCTG